GAGAAACTCATCCTCTGCCTCCAGGTGTCTATGTGGGTGTTGTACTAGTGGCACTGGAGAGAGGAGGGTGTCCCAGGAGACCAGGTAAGGGGGTCACTGTAATATGTGAACCTACTGAAGAGCCACAAGAGGCATAAATGATGCCTCCTTTATTCACAGGGCCATGATTTTCTCTTGTTCTTCAAAAACCATGAATTGGACCATATATTTTTTCCTGTGAAAAAAGAAAATTAAGTGAAAATGCTTTATAGAATATCTTACAGCAACACACATCTCAGCACTAATGGCGGTTTTTAGAAAATAGAGGCAAAGGAGACCTTGCCTGTATAGAGGGTTAAATATACATGTGTCATCTTGGGAGAAAAGTGGCTGTTCCTCTGTCATATCTACACATACAATTTTGCTATAAAGATAATCGAAATTTCATCTTTCAAAAATCAAATCCATGGGCACTGGTGATAAAGTCACATATGGGCAGAATCTGAATTTCTGTTCCAGCTAAGATGTCTCCCCTTAGGTCCTAGGAGAACCAAGAGGCAATGGTGGGTTGGTGGGCTGAAAGCCAATGAATGAACTGTGAAGATTTTCAAGAAGGTAATGATGAGTCATATCACATGCGGCTGATATGGCTGGGGATTGGCTAGTGGATCAAGCGACACAATGGATATCGTGACTCAATACAAACTTTTTCCATGGTAGGAGTGGTTTAGGAGTAGAAACCAAGTGAATTCAACTCTTCCAAGGAGGCTTGTTGATCATTTGTTATGACATCAGGCGAATTGCGAAGGAGAATTTTATGAGCCGGGGACAGCCTTCTTTGAGATCTGAGTGTAATTATTTCTGAGCCCATGGAGAGTCAAGGCCATTTTTGATTTCATCATTCAGGGAAGCAGCTTCCTTCCAAATGAGGGAATCTCTCATTTGAATGTCTCTCCTTGCAAACAAAATGCATTTTGGAGTATAATACAAAGCAGCTTAATGAAAATTCTTCCCTGTGAACTTGAGTTTTGCACGTATTGATTATACATAACAAGTGCTGGTCGGCTTGATTTGGCGCTGGGCAGGATCTCACAAAGAGAGCAGTTCAGCCTTACAACCTCTCCTCCCTCAACTTTCTACCATCGGTTTCCTGAGGGTATCGTGGAGTGTCCAGTAACAGCTCTGTCTTCTTTCCTGCTTTGTGGGGACCCTCGTCTTGGAACAAATTGGCTCACGGGGTCGGGGGTCGTGGGCAGGAGGGATGAAAACATTGTTTTGCTTCCGTGTCCGCTTTTCCTGAGAGGACTTTCACAGGAAGGGAGTCTATATTTTTAGAATTAGCATGTTCTGTTTCAGTCTTGTGAACGTTCATTTAAACCTGCTATATTTAGTGAAGGTTTAATTATCCAAGTAGGGGAACTAGTTTCAAGCTGTTTCTTTCTTTGCTCATCAAAACAGCCCTGGTAGCTGAGAATGGCAATTTCAGCTACACCTGGTGAGGGCAATGGACAAGAAAACTTGCACTGCTGGAGCTCCCTGTGAGCCCTGACGCCGGGAAGTCTGTCCCAGCCCCTTCCCCCTCCTGTCCACTGAGACCTCACTGCTGCACACACCCTCTGTGGGCCGGGCTGGCGGGGTTGGTGGGGCTGTGTCCGCTCCCATGGGTGGGGACTGGACTCTCTCCCCCCTCAGGTATCGTGATGAGACTTTCCAAAATAATATCCAGCTAACAGGATCTCTCTGTACCATTTACAAGTATGTAAGATGGTGGGGAACTGTGCTCTGTGTAATGGGATTTCTTGGAATTTTCAGTGCTGCCATCGGTTCCGTGAATTCCTCACTTTTTAAAAAAATTTTTTATTTAGTTATTTTTCAAGTTCAGTTTTCTGTTTATTTCTCCCATCCCAGCCCACCCCTCCCCCATGCACCCCACCTGCCTCCCATTTCCACCCCCCTTAGTTATTGTCCCTGTGTCCTTTATACTTGTTCCTCTAAATCCCTCCCCTTTTTTCCCCTTAAATTTCCTCCCCTCTCCCCTCTGGTCGCTGTCCCCCTGTTCTCTATTTCAGTGTCTTTGGTTTTATTTTGCTTGCTTGTCTGTTTTGTTGTTTAGCTTCCTGATAAAGGTGAGATCATATGGTATTTGTCTTTCAACCTTTGGCTTATTTCACTCAGCATAATGCTTTCCAGTTCCATCCATGTTGTTGTAAAGGGTAGTAGTTCCTTCTTTCTCTCTGCTGCATAGAATTCCATTTGACAGGGCCTTCTCTGAAGCCTGGGGATCCAGTTGGGCCAGTCAGAGCTGGAGGAGTTCCAGGCTGCTGCAGGGCAGATGAGTTCAGTGCAGGGAGGCTGCTGGTAGGAGAATGGTCAGGGGCCATCCAACTGGCACTAAAAATGCCCCGAGACACAAATGCAATATTGTGCATGTTCATTTACTCATTCAGCAAATATTTATTGATTAGCTGGTGGGGAGTCTGGAAGCCTGGCACTAGTGTGGTTGGGGAGATAGTGGTGAATCGGAAAAATCACCCTGATGTAAAATCAGAGTGAGAGCTCAAAGAAAAGGGATGCTTTAGGAGTGTTTGACAAAGAGGCCTCGGTGACTGGATGAGCAAGGGGAAGTGATGCTTGAGTTGAGATCCACAGCACATCTTCTAAAGTTGTTCTGTGATAACCTTGGTGAGGAAAAAAATGATCCTCGGCAGAGGCCACTGTCACTGTGGAGTTTTCATCTTCTTTCCACGTCTGCCTGGGTTTTCGCAGGGTACCCCGGTTTCCTGCCACATCCCAAAGATGCGTACGTGAAGTGAATTGGCATGTCTACGTAGTCCCCGTGCGAGCGAGTGTGGGTGGGTGTGCCCTGCAGCGGAAGGGGTCCTGTCCAGAGTGGGTGCCCACCTTGTGCCCTCCTGTGCTGCTGGGACAGGTGCCAGCCACCCTCGACCCAGAACTGGAATAAGCAGGTTGGAGGCAAATTCTCTTAGTTGTTGTTATACATTTCCATAAATGTACATATAGCTCACCTTTATCTTAATGTTATCTTAATATTAGAAGTGTTTGGGGTCTTTATTTAGAAGTTTGGTGATATTTTTGTGAATAGACACATGCTCTAGGGACTTAATTCCTGCTTATATTAATTAGCCTTCAGTGAAATCAGGTTTGATATGTTATTTAGCTAAGGCCACTGTTTCCGAGAACCCACTGACAATGCTAAGTGAGGAATTACTGTACACTGCTGCTTGCCAGTGTGCATATGAGTCACATGGGGATCTTGTTGAAATGAAGATTCCTATTTTGGTTCTGGGGTCTGGGAGGGGGCCTGAGATTCTGCGTCTCTAAGCAGCTCCATGCGGTGCTGATGCTTCAGGTCCGTGGACCACAGTATGAGTACCAAGGACTCGAAAGGGAGAGAGAAGGCAGAGCCGTGGGAAGGGGTCATGGGGAGGGACTGGAATATACAGCCTGCGTGTTGGTCTTCTTAGCCCCGCTCAGGCACGGGTACTGTCGTTGTTACCTCCCCTTCCAGTTCTTCTGAACTGGAACGTTCAGTTCTCAGGGATGTGCTTATCCCTGCCAGGACATTTCCCCCCATTCAGGCCACTTTTGAGTTTACTTTAAACTTTATTTTACCTTTTGCAAATACTGGGGCTTCTTTTTAAAAGGGCAGATTAAATAAATGTTTTCAATTCTTTTCCTCAGAATTTGCCAGAAGAAAATGAACAGAAATATGAATGTCATTTTTCATAAAACTTGAAGACTAACCCTCAAAAAATAATATCTGCGAAGGGGTGCCAATGCAACGAAGATCAAGTATGCGTGCAAAAAGAGTCCCGCAGGGGTGGTTCAGGACACAGACCTCCCAGAAACCTGGCAGGAAAGCATTTTCTTCAGTAGATGACACTCTGAGGGGCAAAATCGATGATCCTTTCTTTGGGATCTCGGGGATGTTATCTAACTGTGTGTGGGCACGTGAGTGTGTGTGTGGGGGAGTGTTGCTGGGGCATCCCTGAACCCTATTCGATCCCATAGAAAAGTAGAGAAAACAGAGCTGAGGTTTTAAAAGGTACATGTAGCAAGACCACAGTTGGTCTGCCCCTGGTGAGGCAGGGTGCCTCAGGAAAATACAGTGCTGGAGTTACAGGAACAGACAGAAATACTGTAATAATAGAGAACTTTAATTTTTTTAAATTTTATTTAGTTATTTTTCAAGTACAGTTTCTTGTCTATTTCTCCCGTCCCAGCCCCCCTGCCCTGTGCTCCCCACCTCCCTCCCATTTCCTCCCCCCAGTCCTCTTCCCTGTGTCTTTCATACTTGAGAACTTTCATTCTTATCTCTTAACTACTGACTAAGTTTGAAAAAGGGAATAGGGGTGTGGACTGTCTGAATGACATCCGGTAAGATAGCTCTAACAGACGCACATCAGCTTTCCACTCTGAAAGCTTCATGCCGTCCTTTGACATGACCAGAGAGCAGTCACACGGATTAACTACCCGTGAAACCGCAGAGAAAACTGTAATATATTCTCCCAAGTAAAAATAGGCAGTACGTTCTGATGCCTGCAGTAAAATCAGAAATTAAAAAGAAAGGCAGAAAAAATCCTGGAAATTATACTCTTTAAATAATTACTGAAACTGCGGAATATTTAGAAAATAACAGTTGGTGGTAACAAATTACAAAGCAAGACGGGGTCCTTTATATGCTCAGAAAGACCGATTCTAAAGTTTGCATGGAACGCTGAAGAGAAGGCACTGCCGGAACAGAACCACTGAGACGCGCAGATGCTCTGACACACACGCACCACAAAGCTGAGTGATGGAGGTGCCCTGGGACCGGCCCAGAGCCCCATCAGTGGGGCAGGCGGGAAAGTGCCTTTCTTTTTGTGGATCACTGTAAAGAAACCTGAAAACTGCTCTTCTGTGTAATTCATGTGAATTTTCCATAAAAATACATATATACTTGTATTTGTATAGAACAGCTTTGGGAGTATATTAAAAAAACTAACAGTTGTTGAGTAGCTAAGAGATAAAAATAGGGCAGGGATGTTACATTTGACAGTATTTTCTGGTATAACTTTGGAATTTTGTACCATTTATAGTATATCTTTTCAGAAAACCCATTTTTTTGGTCAAACCCAACACAGGATAGGAGTACAGTAGAGCAAGCTGAGGGTGGGTGCCGAACAACCGGCTCGTGTCCCTCCAGTAAGGGCTCGAACTCCTCAGTGGCCTGGGTCTGGGAGCTTCCCAGGACCTGAGCAGCTTGACAGTCGCCAGCGACTCTGGTACCAGAGTAGACACTCCAATGGTAGAGTTTCATCGTTTTCCAAGATGTTCCCCACCCTGGCCTGTCACCTCTTCACTCACTCACTCTGCAGTGAGCGAGGCCAGGGGCTGCCTCCGATGCAGGGCTTTACCCATCAGCTCCAGCAGTGATAAAACCCGAGAAGCTGTCCTGTAAACCTGCCATGCACATAGCGGCAGGCTGCTCGCAGACACAGCTCCAGGCCAAGTCCCCCAGGTTCCTCCTCTTGGCAGCTCCCTGCTACCAACCCCTTCTTGTGCAGAAACTCTGGCGCCCCCAAACCCCTGCCTGTGTCCCACATCTCCGAGAGCAAAAGAACCTTTTTTTTCCCCTGAGAAAACACTGCAGTTTATTGGCCAGCACATGGAATGTTACAAGTGTATTTGACTTTGGTTTCAGATGGCAACTCAAACATGGGTGTGTTTATGTTGCCCTTTATGAGTATTCCCATCAGCAAAGCCTTTGATAACTAGCTGGGGCAGTGGCGTGGTTGAAAAAATTCCAGTCTAAAAATCTGTTTTTATTCGGTCCCCTTTGAGAAAAGGCTGTGAAAGCTCAGGGAGGTGGCTGAGTCTTGAAGGCCAGGGTCCTCTTCAAACATTTGCTGAGGATCTACCAGGAACACAGGTCTGTACTCAGTCAATATGCACACAGTTGTCCTGGGAAGGAGAGGAAGGTTCAAAACACGAGGACACTCTTGGGAAAGTGCCCTGTCCCCACTTCCCTGGGCTGAAAATCCGAGTTTCCTGGATTGCCAGAGCAAGAGCACGTCCCTACAGGGAGCAGGACTAACACTTGACTTTCAACGTGGGGAGCACCCTAAAAAGTCCAAGCTTCTGCGTGTTGAGGTTGTAACTTTCTGCCTTAAAAAAAATAGAAACAGACTTTTCTTTCAGCTGCTTAGCCTTCAAGTTTGTTATAACCAACTGAGAAAAAATAATCATTTTAACATCATTCCTAAAGTCAGTTAAACATGGATTGTAAATAGAAAACTTCCTCAAATGAAAAAAATGACAACTGCATTTCCCTTTAAATATATTTTGCTGATTTTCTTCATTCTAGGTTAGGTTGAGATAAGGAATCTAGCATTGTAAATTATTGTGCTCTGTGTACAGCAGCTTTTCTTAAAAGAATGCTTTTTCTTAAAAAGTCCTCTTGCTTAGTCCCTTCCTTGCTCAAAGCTAATTAGCCGCCCACGTCATCTGCTTTTCCGCAGCCTGCTATTCTGAGCCCTCGCTGTCCTTTCTGTTTCCTCCCCTGAGTTTCCTCTCTTTTAGCCGAACCCCTCTTTCTCTCCCGTGCCAACCAGTGATGTGTCTAAGCTCAGTCACTTGAGTCTAGTGGTCCCTTTGTCCTGGCCCCGTATGGGGTGAATCAGAGTCAGGGTGATGGTGTCCTATGACATTTGAAAATAAAGCAGCAAATAAGTTTGACACTGAGCGTAACCTGCATGGGGCCCTGTTGCCTCGTCACTGAGACATGAAAAGATAGTGGTGAGCAAGCAGATTCTGTGCTTACACTGTTGTCACATGATGGAAGGAGTATGTGTCTTTCAAGATCAAAAATATGTATTTTTTTCAAAGATACTGTTGCATCCATCTATTTTCCCCCTTCATTCTGAATTTATTTAAATATTTCAGATAACACTAGAGGAAAGCATATGACTTTCTGTGGCTATCCAACATGCCTCAAGTGCCATTTTTGTGGCTTTTTTTTTTGTAACAAGAATTTTCTAAGGCACTTTCTAGCTCTGAAAATCTCATGACCTGTGAACATGTGCCCTTCTCAGTCCCTCAAGAAGCCATTTGGAGCAAACTGACGGACTTATCTGCTTTATGTGGGCTATGCTTCCTCCTTTCAACAGCATGTCCTCCACCTAAAGTATTCTTCTGTGACATTTCTGACGAGCCATGATCCTCACAAGTTCCCTGCTTGAGAGGAATTATTCCGTCTGCACTGGACCCCGTCATGCAGCCTGGAAGCCTCCTTATCTCTAAGGTATGGGCAGCATATAGAAGAGAGGAGCCCTGGTGGTGGGCGGAGTAGTAATAGTAGTAAAAACAAAATAATTTTAGGATAAAAATAGCAGCTCACATCTGTCACACTTTTATGTGCTAAGCATTCTATGTTCATTATGTTACTATTCACGACAACCTAAAAGGTGGTATTATTGTTATTATTTCTAATCCTCGTCCAGAGATATGTTTTATATTTATTTTAGAGAGAGAGGAAGAGGGGGAGGAGGGGAGAGAGAGAGAGAACGTTGATCTCACCCCTCCTGGCCGGGGTGAGGTGGGAATTATTTACTCAGTCTTCAGAAGTGGAAACTGAGGCTTAGTGAGGGTTGTAAAACTTGCCGCAGATGGTGACCAGTGAGCCAGGGTTCAAACCGCAGCCATTCGACTTCCACAACTCATGGTTTTACCACCATTCATAAATATTTACCTATGTGTATTCATATTCATATTGTTTTTATCTGAGTCTGTCTGTCCCATTTTTCTCATGAGATTCCTGCAAGTCAGGTCATGTCTCCTTTCATTCCTTTATCCCATGTCTGAATGCTGTAACCATAAATGAGCAAAGAACTTTACTGACATTACCTCTTAGGGGAAAAGAATTCCCAAGCAAGCTGTAACTCAGCTGGGTATCTGAATTGGAAGGAATTTTCCCCAATAGCAGGGTACATCCCACAGGCCATCCAAGTGGTGTCAAAGGTTTTAGAGACTTTGTTCAAGCTGTTCCCCCTTGTCATTTCTTGGCCATACTTCTGAGTGCTTAAATGGGCTGACAGGGATTTTGAGTTGAAGAGGTACAGGCAGCTCACTTAGAAGTTATGTTAATGGCTAGTAAAGATTTTAGAGTCATTTTCAAAATGATAAGATCAGTACCCTAGGACTGAGTTATTTTGCTACATTAATTTCAACTTGTTTTAATGGCTTTTGGCCTCCTGCTTAATGCCAGTTGAGGCAGCAGATTGATTCCCTGTAAATAGTGGCTTGTCATGTCTTGTTGCTTAATTCTAGGTTTTACGACATACCAAGATAGATATTTATCGATTAAGCAAACTCCTGCACTGTGTCCTCTAAAGCCCCAGGGGTTAGTGTTTTATTCTAGCCTCTCCAAAACTTTTTATGCAATCAACTGATCAATAAATGTTATCTGTGATGATTCTTGAGTGTTAATTTTAGATGTCTAAAGACTTACAGTCTCAAGAGTAGCTTGGTTATGAAGTGACTTTTGGGTTGTATTATGTCAGAGAGAAGCAAACAGGAAGGAAGATTTTTAACAGTATCAATTTATGAGATATTAAAGATACTCAGTTCTTTCTTTAAATAGAGTTGCAACATGGTACTTTGTTTCTTACTTTCCATCTGGGTCAAGAAAAAGCTGTGACTCCTATTTATTCTTCATCTCTCCTATTCAGAAAAATGTGAGAATGTCTGGGTTTCAATTCTCTCTTTTGATCTTCTACTGTTTTTGGAATATGATTTTATGTTTGTCACCTTGGAATGAAGTGCCCAAGGGAGGAAAGACAAACTACGTGTGGGAGTTACCCACGGTCACTTCCTCTTCCTTGCCACAGTCACTGGCCCGCCACTCATTTCCTTTTCTGCTGCCCTGACTTCCTGTTACGCAGATCTGTTGGAGGGTGAGCAAGTACAGGAGTTTTGGAATCACAGGATCTACACTGAATCCCTTATGTGACATTGGACACACTTTTGGGACAATAGCACCTACTTTAGAAGGTCAACATGAAGATTCATGTAAATCACCTTGGACAGTGGTGTCTAACTCCTAACTCCTAGCGATCCGTTCCTCGACATTAGTTACAATCCTTTTCTTCCCCAGGTTCTGGTTTCCTGGCCTACTACTTTTACCCTTTATGCTCTATCTAAGGTGGTTAGATTTGTCTACATACAGTGTGTTTTGATCTTATTATTAGCTGGTGAAGAAAAAAGAAAACTTTCAGTGGTTCTTCATGGCTATGCAATCAAGTTCAAATTTTTTATTATGATGTTCTGGGTCTTCTGTAATCTCACCTGAACATGTGGCTTCGACTGGTGGCCAATTTTTCTATTTCTTAGGATGCTTTGAGTTGTAGTAAATAGGTTGACAAGCACCCTGGTGATTCTGATAAAGTCTGTCTAGAGGACAATTTGGGAAACGGTGCTTTAGTGTTATCCAGCATGGCATACCTGCTGTATGCGTTGTATGTTTTCTGTGTAAATCATAATTCTTTATATTTAATTGTCTCAAGGGCAAGAAAGTTGTTTTTGTGCAGAAAAGAATTAACACAGCTGGCTTGAGGCTTCCACCCTTAGAAAGTCCTGATGGTGAGGTTGGCTCTTGGCTGACATCTAGGAATTTCGTCCTCAGAGTTCTCTCTGTCAACAGGTAACAAATAAGTGTGGTTCACTGTGCCTGGAGTTTTCTGCAAACAGTGGTTTATGCTTGAACACTCACTTCCCTCTGGAGTTTAAGTTCTTTTTTAATGTTTTAGGCAGAGAGTGCCTACAGGCCCAACCCCCAGTAAAATCCTCAGGTGCTGAGTATCTAAGGTACTTCGCTAGGCTGATACATCACGTACATGTTGCTACATTTTGGTTGCCAGAGGATGTGTTCTCTATGTGATCTCTCCTGAGAGGGAGATAGCACTGCGAAGTCTGTACATGGGATCCTCTAGACTTCACCGTATGATCTGACCATGTGTCCTTGCTGCATTGCTGTAAGAAACTGTAGCAGTAAGGTCAACTGTAAACTGAGTTGTGTGGGTTCTTTTAGTGACGTCCCAAATGTAGGAGTGACCCTGGGTACCCTGACACTGTACCTTTCTGAAACAATTCTCATAGCAGGTGCTCGATGAGTATATTGCAATTGAGTGTTTTAAGTCTCTTTTTAAAAAATTTTAAAAGATTCAGTTACAGTCAAAACACAATATTAATTAGGTTCAGGTGTACACCATAGTGATTAGACATTTATGTAACTTATGAAGTAAGTGATCACCCTGAAAATTCTAGTACCCATTTGACACTATACATAGTTATTATAATATTATTGACTATATTACCTATGGTGTACTTTACATCCCTGTCACTGCTTTTATAAGCGATAATTTGTGCTTCTTAATTACTTCTCTTTTTCACCTATTTCCCTAAGCCCCATCACATCTGGCAACTATGGGTCTGTTCTCTGTATCTGTGAGTTTGTCTGTTTTGCCTATTTATTTTGTTTTTGAGATTCCACATATAATCTTATGGTATTTGTCTTTCTCTGTCTGGCTTATTTCACTTTAGCATAATACCTTCCAGGCTCACCCATGTTGTTGCAGAGGGGAACTACTTTATGGCTGAGTAATTTTCCATTGCATATATAGACTACAGCTTATATATCCATTTTGCTATTCGTGGGCACGTAGGTTGCTTCTGTACCTGGGCTATTGTAAATAATGCTCCAGTGAACAGAGTGCTCATTAGTGTTTTGGGTTTCTTCAGATAAATACCCAGAAGTGGAATTGCTGAGTCTTATGGTAGTTCTAGTTTTCATTTTTTGAGAACCCTCCATTCCGTCTCCACAGTGGCTGCACCAATTTACAATCCCAGCAACAGTGCACGAGTGTTCCCTTTTCTCTACATCCTCACCAACACTTTTTTAAAACATT